GACAGGAGATACAAAACAAGAAAAGAATGCAAAGAACACCACATTTACATGGTACTTTATAGGCAAGCCAAAGCCTGGAAAAAAAAGAATTTCAGCAATAATTTATTTTTAAATGTAAACTGCTTTAATTAGCTTGCCTACAAGTCATGAGGCACAAATGCCTGTGAACTAGGCAAAAGGCTACCTCAATGGCACAATTCGAAAGTGAAAAATTAAAGTCTCTCTCATACAGAAAGTCTTTCCTAAACCCAAGAAATGTTTTTCACAAGCTACAAACTGAACCTTGGTTTTGGATGCAATGGTTGTTGATTTGGCTTAATTTTTCTCACCTAGCAAGAGGTGCCATAATAGTTAAGGGACAGCAGAAACAGGCTAACAAAAAAGTCACCAAGACAACACCACATTTCATTTTTAAAGCAGTTACTGTTTATTAACTGACCAGATTACAAAAATGACCATGGCAGATACCTGAAGGGGGGGGGGGGGGGGAAGAACAAAAAAAAAAGTGTTAAAGAAACCACCTTAACAGCTAAGAATTAACATAAATTAGAGGTTATAAGGAAGTATCAATTCAGTTTCCATTTTTAAGTAGGGGAAAACAGGCTTTTTCTTCCCTCCACAAATATCCTCAACTATTCAGGAATAACCAAACCAACTGTAATCATGTGAGATGGTTGATTCCCTGCCCCGCCCCACCCCCAACTAAATATACTGAATAGAACTCAACTAAACCTTTTCCAACATTAAATGGAAAAGGTATTTGAGATTATACCGCTTTTACTACAGTTTATGTAGTAAAGCATATAGTACTAATAGTATAGTATTAAGTAAACTTCTCAACAAGTTGCTCACCTTAGTTCATCCTTCTAATAAGCCTGTTGATCTGGTCCTCCCTGTTACCAGCATCTCCACCTTCTACAAAATGGGTGGTCTTTTTCTTCATTCCACCTCGTGGAGAAGATAATTTGAAGGGCCACAGGAAGTTGTTTGCTTCTTTGAAGTGTTTTCCAACAGTATAGATCTCATGAATCAGATCCTCCATGCAGATGATGCCGAATTTACCTGAACATTTTACGGTTATTTAAGATGATTAGAATTGTAATTTTAAAAATATTGTTGTATCTTAAGGTATTCAACAAGCACAATTATAGGATGTAACAGAGTTAAAAAGTAAACCAAGAGTAAAAAGAGAAAAATGCAGGTCCACAAAACACCAGAAAACATCGATTTTTGTCTAATAGCAAACTTTCCGTCAAATAGAACCTACCAAGAGATCGTGCAATCAATGCATTATCTGTCAGGGCGATTCGTTTTTTCTTGATCTTGCCATAACCACGCTTGTAGATCAATTCATTTACTGACTTCAGGTTTGGATAGCTGAAATATGAAAAACAAACATAAATGACCAAAGAATATGGTTATTGCTGTCAAAATGCCTAAAATTCACCTTGCTAACATAGCCAATTTAACAAACAGAAATCCAAGGAAAAGACAAACTTACCCCCATGCAATATATGGTTCCACAATCCTCAGCATGTTAACTGAAGCCTTGTTGAGCTTAACGAAGGTGCCGTTGAAGATCTGGCGAAGGCGAAGAAGCTGCAGCACCTTTCGGACCTTTGGGCTCACACCATTGATACTGTAATGAAAAAAGACCAAACGTTCACTTGGCATTTTCGAAGAATTCTTATTAATAAAGAATAGAAAAGTATTATCATTTTGGACAACAGAAGTCCGACCTAATTAGACAGAAACCCTCTTGTATTACAAAGATGACTGGTGTTTTTCCTTACTTAGTTAAATTTTTCTATCACCTCTCAGCTTGCCTCCTTCTCAAAATAAATTGTCACTGGACACAAACCTATGACATTTAAACTCCCTCTGATGCTTTTACCACTTCCTATTTTTGTACCTATCTTTGTTTTAACACTTATGAGTCTACATTTTAACGCTTTTGAATTTTGAACTTCATCGCAAGGACACTGAACTCAAGTCCAATGCTCAATTGGAGAATAAATAGGGGCTTTGGCCACAGTTCTTCCAATTAAACCATTAGAATATCGTCCCCTGGTTCAAGCTAACCCCAAAATATTTTTATTCAGAACCAAGGCCTCCAGGAGTAATGTTTAGTTTGGGACTGCATAGTTTTCCCTTCAAAACCAGACTGCAGTAAAAAACGAACTTACCCTCTGATCCTGATGACAAATGCCAATTTGGGTTCCGCAGGTACATAGAAGTTGCCAGCTTTTCTTGCCATTCTAGCCATTCGAATCTCAGTTCTGTACATCTGCCTATATTCCTTGTGATAGTACTTAGCTTTTTCATAGATAAGCTTCCTCCTTGCCTTTCGAAGCTGAAAATGAATGATCACTTAGTCATCTGATTTTTAGCTCCCAAACACGATTAGCAATACCGTTTTCTTAGAAGAAAACTAATCTTTCCTTGCAACTTTTTTCTTGCCAGTTTGCACTAACATTCTAAAAAGTAGATGCCACCTTCATTTGAGATGCCACTTCGAGGAGCTAACCAAGCCCACAGGTATAGCAAGTGAAGTAAACAAGTCCTGATAAGATTAACACCCTCCTCCTTTTCAACCCCAAAGCCTCTTCTTAACATGGTTAAGCACCTCAAAGAAGTTTCCTTACCATCTTCTGGGCAAACTTCTTTCTCAGGCGCTTGATCTTCAGCTCTGCGAAATTCCTTCGCTTTTTCTTAAGGGTTTCTGGCACAGCAGGAACCTTCTTCTTCTTCTCTCTGGCATTCACAAACAATGTTAATACTCAAAAAGCTCACAGCACTGCACTACTCCCATTCTGCCCCGACCATACTGTCACTTAACAGAACTGCTGTCACCAGCTCTAATGACTGTACTTTTAACTGCTCTAGCCTGCTATAGCACGAGATGCAGATTTTACGGAATTTCTATGCAAAGTCACCTTTAACAAGGACATTACTTAACCGACAGCCACAAAGACAGCCACGACAATGAGAAACTGCTGTAAGACACTGATCCCCAGACTTTTAGGAGGATTTAAACTTCTCAATAGTAATAACGACAATAATAACAATAACAACCCCAGAAAACAACAAAAAATCCCACTACCATCCTGGTTTAGGCCGCAAGCTCCACATGCTGAAAGCGAAGGCCTAACGGCAGAGACGCCTAGATCAAGTACCAGGCAAGCACGAACTCAATTCAGAGGTTTTGCGCCTCCTTCAGAGAGCCGTGGACTGGACAACCAGCCGACTCCAAACATATTCAGCTCTCATCACACCTCGCCTCGTTCCCAGTAACTAACTTCTAAACCTCCGTCCCATGGCCTCCTGCATCCCATGTTAGCCTCTGGCCACCACCAGTGTCAGAAGACATCATAAACACACAGATAAGTGGGCAAAGATACAGGCTACAGTTGGACCGGGGGATAGCGAGACAAAAGGTCTCCGATCTCGGGGATGGAAGAGGATTCTCTAAGGGATGTAGTACAACTTACTCCGCACCCTCCATGGTTCCAGCCGGAAAAAGAGGAAGTTAGCGCATGCGCACTGTTCACTTAAAGACGGCGCGTGAAGCCCCACGGCTCATAGGTATTCCAGGATAAGCCAGAAAAGAAGTCAGAACTGAGAACTTGAAGACGCAAAATTAAGTAAAACCCTGTTCAGCCTCTTAGGATCAAGTTTAGGATAAAATTTTATGGGGGGGAAAAGCATTTATTGATTAGATTCCTTAATCAACATGAGAGCAAAGAGTGCTGACACCTTGACTACACGGGGTCCTAGTTCTTAGGCAGCGTTAACCCGGTACAGCTCGAAATCCAACTAGTTATATATGAAAATGACACGCTGCATGGATGCGAACTACAAATCCCAGCATGCATCAGTTCTCTAGCCCACCCAGCGGGAGGGCAACGCTTCTCCGGGACTGCAGGCAGCCACCACGGTCGTGATTCCAGCCAAGGAAAATGAAGCTCTTTTGGCTCACGTTGCAACGGGCTAGCTGCGATTTTAAGTCGCTCCCGAGACCCGGCTTTAACTGCCTTTTGGACTGTCAAACCCAGTCAAAGCCTCCGGCAGCCCAGGTTGCCGTGCTGCCGAGGTCCTTTCGTGCCCTAGCCTGAAAGGCTGTCTTCCACAGCGCCTGATTGCAGGCGGAGCCGTCCAGAGTCCCATGCCTAGGGAAAGTGGCGAGACAAGGGACCGCGAGGATCGGACTCCCGGAGGAGAATGGCCGGGGCACTGCCAGCAGCCGGGCCTGGCAGGCGGAGGGCGGGACACCCCACGGCAGGGGGCGTGAGCCGCGAAGGGAGGTGCGATGAGAGCTGGAAGCTGCGGCCACAGCCGTGTGAGAGGGGCTGCCCCGCCGCGTATCGGCGGACGGCTGGCGGGCGGACGGGGGGCTGGGCCGGGGGCGGGGTGCGCCCGGGGGCGGGGAGGGCCGAGCGGAGGGAGGGCAGATGCCGCCGCTGGCTCTTCCCGGTCGCGGGTTATATAGCGCGGAGCGTGGAGCCCGCTCAGAGGCGGCCGGGAGTGCTCTGACTTGTGAGTGGCGCCTCGCTGCGGAGCCGGGTGCCCGAGTGACAGCAGCAGGGAGTGCAGGGCAGGGGGACACGAGACTGCGGGGGCAGCTGCAAGCGGCTGGGCAGCGCTCGCCTGTGCCGAGCGAGTCGCCCCTTCCCGGCGCTCACGCTGCCCCGCACCCCACCTTCCCACCCTCTCGCAACTTGGGTCAAGTTGACAACTCCCGCAGCGGCCAACCGGCCCGTGCCGTCTCTGCTGCGCGCCCCTCTCCAGGGTGAGAAGGAGCAGCCGCGCCGACTCCGGGAACTCTCGTGCGGCGGCAGCTTGGCCATGAGGGCAGCGCGCGCCGCCTAATTCGCGGCTGTCACCGCCGCAGCAGCGGGACCCGCCGGCCAGGAGGGCGCTCCCGGACGGGCAGGCGGCCGCCGGCAGGAGGCGCCGAGCCGGGCAGCCGCCGCAGCGGGCACAGCCCGGGGCCACTGCGCCGAGCCCGGGCGGGAGTGGCCCCGCGCACTCCACCCCGGCGGACACCTCGGGGACAGGCGCAGGACGCAGCCTTCTAGTATCGGCCGCTGTTACAGACGCCCCGGGGCGGGAAGCCGGGCTGTCCGGCTCGGGGTGGGCGCGGGCGCTGGGCTTGTGCGTTGCCTCGGGCTTCGCGATGAACATCGTGGTGGAGTTCTTCGTGGTCACTTTCAAAGTGCTCTGGGCGTTCGTGCTGGCCGCAGCGCGCTGGCTGGTGCGGCCCAAGGAGAAGAGTGTGGCGGGCCAGGTGTGCCTGATCACGGGCGCCGGCAGCGGCCTGGGCCGCCTTTTTGCCCTCGAGTTTGCCCGGCGCCGGGCGCTGCTGGTTCTCTGGGACATCAACACTCAGAGCAACGAGGAGACGGCGGGCATGGTGCGCCACATCTACCGCGACCTGGAGGCGGCTGACGCCGCGGCGCTGCAAGGTAACTCGGACCTGCGCCTGAGCATTGTTGGGTCAAGCCCCTCCCCGCCCCCGCGCCCACTCGGGAGGGCCCCGGTACCCCACTGTCACGGTCAGCCAGATCTCGAGGAAGAGAACCACTCCCCACACCGACTTGGACTTCTGCGAGTGGATTTTCCCCGATAAAGGAACATGATCTTTCTGTTTTAGAAGGGGAGAAAGTGTGCCAAACCCTCTTCGTAAGGGAGGTCCTGTCTCTTTGGGGACGACTGTGGGGTTTCCTAAGCCCTCTGTGATCAAGGGAGGCAGAGGGTACTTGTTTTCACAGGTTTGAATCCTAAAGAAATGCCTCCATGGTCTTTGCGATGGGAAACTTGTCTGGGAAGTTGTCCTCAGAATCGATGGGTGCACGTATATATGTTAATATGGTCTGAACCTCTTAGACTAGAGGCAGCACTGATTTCCTATAACTTCAACCAGGAGAAAATAATTACATTGTTTCACCAGAGATAAGTACTTCAGTTACATACTTAGCCTGATTGTAAGACGCTCTACCTCTTAAGGCAAAGTGCTTGAAGGATTTAAGCCTTTTTGTAAATTTATTCCATGTTTTTGGTAACCTCAGGAAATCTGCATTTTTGTATATTTATGAATTGGCCTGAATCTGAGACTTTAAAAAATAAATCAAAGCGGGGACCATAAGCAACCATAAGTATTCGTCCAGGAAATTTGATAATCGCTCTTGGTTTTTGACAAAATTTTTTGTTTCCAGGGAAAACAATGAACTATACAGGAAAGATTAACTCTGGTACCACTCCTATCCCGTAATGATTGTTTGTCGCCAAAATTATTGGCACTGGCCTTTTAGGTCAGAAAATCAAAGGTTAAAAATGTTACATCTTCAACCGTGGTTTGTAGGGCACCAAATACAGGTTTTTGTGCTTCCTTGCCAAAACCTAAGAGATAGTGGTATTTGTTTTCCAGGGAAGAGATTTTGATTTTTTTTAATTGAGTTCTTGTGAGATAAAATGGTATATTTTACCTGTGAACTTGATTTGTGTGATGCTGGTTAGAACACACCAGTGTGACCTCTTTTTATGAAAAACTTTAGGCTCATTTCTTGGCTTTGAATGAATTCAGATTATTAATTACAATTTTAATTTGTGAGCCTTGAGGTGAGTTTCCATTTTGAGGATGCTCATATTAGAGAGTAAAAGCTACTTCTGGCCACTTTTCCCCCCCAAAATGAGTGTGTAGTGTGTGTATTTGGGAGGAGGGGTGTTAACTCTCTGGGCTGAGATCAGTTCTTTCCAGGTGTCTTTAGCTCCAGGAAGCTGATCCCATGAGGTATTGAGCTTGTCACAGTTACATGATTTTCCCCTAAGCAAAGTTCTCCAGCAAATTGCTGTAATTCCCCAAGACTTCTAGGGGAGGAAGGCAGCTGTAAGTTCAGTCACTGGCAAGCCTCACAGTGTTAGAAATTTGAAGCTCACTGTAGTATTTTTGTTTTGTGTGATCTTTGTCCTACTGATTACCATGTGACTTACATTTTGCAACCCCCCACCCCCTGTTGCATTTTTTTCCCCCTGGCTCATCTGGACTTCTGAGGACAGCTGGGAATGGTGAGGAAGAAATTCTGCCCCACTGTAACCTGCAGGTTTTTACCTACACCTGTGATGTGGGAAAGAGGGAGAATGTCTACCTGACGGCTGAAAGGGTCCGCAAGGAGGTTGGCGAGGTCTCAGTCCTGGTCAATAATGCCGGTGTGGTCTCTGGGCATCACCTCCTGGAATGTCCTGATGAGCTCATTGAGAGAACCATGATGGTCAATTGCCACGCACACTTCTGGGTAAATATAAACATCCTTATTTTCATTTCTGGGCCCTCCTCAATGAGAAGCTTGGGAAGGAGAGAGACTTCAGTACCAGCCTGAAAGCCACCTGCACATTTCTCCACAAAGCTCCCTTCTAACTCACTATTCCCCATGGTGAATTACATCGTACACCAGTTACTATTAAATAGCTGTTTGCTCTCCCCCCCGCCCCCAATTCAGTATTTCTTGAGAGGGTAGAGAACTGAACATTTTGAACTAGTTTGAAAGACTGCCATAAAAATAACAAGAGGAAGCATAAAATCCTGGGTTTGTTTATTTTACTTTCTGTTGAGTTTGTAAAACATCAGTTGGTCTTATGAATTCCTAAAGTCAGAGTTTAGGCTTCCAAATTACTGCTCAGCCACATTTTGGGAAGTGCCAAAGAGTCTGAGATCAGCATTTGTGGTCCATTGGGAGCGGTCAGGCCACCCTGGCAGACACTTAACATACATTGACCATCTCAGGGTCTGTGGCATTGTTCCATTGGAGTGCATCTCAGCTTAGAAGATGCCTCTCTTAGAACAGAAGTCACCTTAGGACCATGATAGGAGCAAAGTCACTATATAGGGGGCAGGAGGACTGTGAGATCTGGTGGACCAGGGACTTAAATCACATCAGCTTCTAGATGATGGTTAGAACAGGAGAGCTACTATAGCAACTAAGGATGAGAGGAATGGTTTTCTACTGCTCTGGGGACAAAACTAACCTCAGGTTTTCTGCTGAATTGATTCAGCAATGAGAGGTGTGAAACTCTCCCTGTAACTGCACATTGTTGACCCACTCTATGCTTTTCTTCCTCCATAATGTTTCCCCTTTACTTTTGTAGGCTGGTAGGGTCTGATAAAGAAAGGGTAAGGGGGGAGGGTGGTATGTTTTGTTTTGTTTTTCCAAAGGCAGATTAGCTTTCTAATCGAACACAACAAAGAACTGTTTCTCCTAAATAGGTCACAATAAACCGCATTAATTTTTTAGCAACTGCTTAAAAACTTAACCTGGTTTTAGAAGTGCTTATTCAAATGTTGCTCCTTGAACATCAAACCATTTTTCTGATTCTGGAAGAAGTTTATATGTTTTATTTTCAAACTCATGAAGTTTATTTAATTCATTTCCAAACCTCTAGAAATGAACATATAAACAACATGAATTAATTATCATGTTTTAAAGGAGGAAAGAGATTACCAGATAGTTTGGGGGGATTTAAGTGTGCTTGTATGTGTGCATAGGGGTGCGTGTGTGTGTGTGTATTGGGTGCAGTGTGGGTGGGGAATATATAAAAGTCCTTGCTGCCTTGGGGTCCACAAGAATAGGTGGCAGGTGAAGAAGGGAAGCGGGGTCAGACAAGGAAAGACCAGTACGACTGAACAAACTGGACAATACAGCTTATCAAGAATCTTGTGTGTTTATAATTCTGAATAAAACATTCACCATTTGAAATAAAAGATGTACATAATTTGCAGGTGAACTGAAGTTTTCTTACTTGAAGATAATAAGTGTGAAGCTGCCATAGAAACCTGCAGTGATTTCAGTCAACTTATTTATCCTTAAACAGATACTCAGCCATTGGTAAGCTAGTTATGAGCTGTAGACACCAGGACTGGTCTTTTCCAATAACATTTGACTGGGATGATGCGCGGTTTCCAAACTAGAAACATTTACCTACACAGAGTACTCTAAAGTTTAACCATCTTGCCTACTTTTTTTGCATGATTATTTTGCTGAATTGTAAACAATTTCAAATGGAACCAGATTTTTAAAGAATTCCCATATGACCTGCAATTAAATACTTATAAGAGGAAAGCAGCTTCTCTTTTCTAAACGTCCTATCAAATGAGAGCTTATTTAGAATGTGTTCAGCACAGAAAATCCATAGCTTTAGCTTTGAAAATGCACATCAATTAATGTATTTGTACCTTAAACATCAGGCTATTATCTAACTAAGGAGAAAATTAATCTCCAATAGCAAAATTATTGAGGAGTTGAATCTATACAGCAAGAAGAAACAAATCACCTTCCCAAACGCCTTTTGGCTTTGAGATGTTGCTTAACTACACAATTTAGGGAGTTCTTGGAAGCCTTGTCAGGAATGACGTCACTTCATATTAAAATATGGGAGGCTCCTGAATTCTCCAGCTGTTTTTCCCCCAAGCATCTAAACTTAAGAATTTATTTTCAATACTGAGTCAGAAAATTCATTTTCGAGTTGGAATATTTAACTACTTGCCAAGACTTAAAACCCTTTTGAGAAGTTGAGACATAGCAACTAAAATGTAAAAGAAGACTTACTATAATTTTCACAGTAATTTTTTGGGAGGCGGGGGTTTACATGGCCTAAAAACCACCTGAATTCAGCTTCCCTTCCAGTAGTCCTCTTGGGGAAATGTTTGTGGTAACTGTTCAGAGGTGTGCAGTGTTGGCATGTGCTGTTCCCTGGCCAGAAAAATAACCAGTATGTCTTTCTCCTGTATCCAGGTGGATAAAAGAAGTTGACACAAATTTTTAAAAAGTAGATCAGCTGAGCAAAGACTTGTTTGGTAATTTGAACAGATTGTCTTGAGCCAGACTTTTAAGTAGCAGCTGTTGTCTGTTTCCATAGAATGATCAATAGTATACAGTTCTGGCCCAGAGTTAAAGACACATGCAGCGAAATGGAAAACCATGTGGGTGTCACATGAGCATCCACCAAAAAGCTGTAGATGTTGCTATTTCCAAACCATTCCTCACACTGTTGCTAGAAGGCCCGTTTCCCCCACTCTGTCTACCTTTGAAGGCCTAGCTCAAGTTCTTCCTGTAACCTTCCCTCCCCACTCCAGCCCTTTTCTGGCATTTTTGCATATTAGACCTGCAAGAGTCCTTAGAGATCATCCTGTCCAACCTTTTGTTTTCTTATGAAGCTACACTTAAATGACTCATCGAGGCTTTTTCTCTTCTTGCCATCAATCTCTTGCAGCCTTTGTTGGCATTCCCATCCTTTGGAGCACAGTATGTGTTCTTTGATGTAACTTTTTATACTTTGTGCTCTGAAACCCTGATGTAGATGGCAAGCTGTCTGTAGGCAGTTTATTGTTTGTATCTATTTGTTTTCCCCCACCTGGCACAGATCTCTACTCATAAATTACTCAATAAATGTCTGATAATAACAGCAAGGCTTCTGCTTGAATATTTAGAAGATAACCTATTCAGAGAACGTTCAAATGGGTCTATCTTCTGAAATTTCAAAAGGTAAACATTGTGCTAGACTAATTTAAGCTGGGTGATACTGATGAGATTTCAGAGTTGGGCTGGCTCACATTATTGTATCTTTTGTTTTCCTACACAATTTTTCCGTTCTCCCTGCCCTACCTGTCTGCTCATTTTTACTGTAGTGTATTACGTCTGCTTAGTGGTGCAAGGCTAGCGACTTTGAGAAGGCTGGCGTGGATATACCAATTTGAATTAAGCTCGAGCTGAATGTCTGGCAACCACTCCTACTTCCCAGTGACTGGCCTCAAGGGGAGGACTCCTACTCTAACTCTTTCCTTGCTTCTTGCTCTCTCCATGCATGTTGGCAGTTTTTACCGTATTTGGCATTATTCTGCACAGCCCCCCAGTCTGCTGTGATTCTTAATCCTCCTGTATTCTCCTATCACCAGCTCTCCTAGGAACCTTCTCTTGGTCACCAGTTAAGAAGCAATAGATTTGGGGCAGGTTCTAGTCAGCATAATCTGTTGTGCACCACTCATAGTGAGGACAAAACCATGGAGAGAATGTATACAATCAGTGTGCTTTGTTCGCCATAATCACAGAAACCTTAGGCTCTCCGTGCTTCTGTGACATGCAAAAGCTTGAAAATATCTCCCTCTTCTTCCTTGAAATGGGAAAGTTGGGCTCCACACAGGAACTGCAAACCCATGTTTTTCCCAGAACATTAACATGGCTTTGCTTGTTATTTCTTAAGAGGAGTGGAATCTTAGCTCGCTGTTTCTAACAGGTAAAGTCATGAGGCCTGTCAGTGTGAGCAGCACATTGATCCCTGATTAACCAAAAGGGGGAAGCAAAAGCATTTAGCTGCAGGCCTTTTATGTTCTGAAAAAATTTTGCATTGCAAAGGACTAAATCTGTCAAATAGCTAGTCAGTAATTTACTTCTATTGATATGGTAGTCAGACAAGATAATTGGTAGTTAATTAATAGACCACTTAACTTAAAAGGTTTCACAGTTTTAAAATACTAATTACTGAATTTGGCATTTATCTATATCCAAATGTCTAAAGTCTATTTAGTTAAAATCCATCCAGGAAAAGTAAAAGCCCACCAGTAGATCTGAGTAATGTAGCACTTAACGACATTAGTACCTAATATCTCATGAATGGTTCCTAATCATTAATGTTCAAGATTTTTTTGTGATTTACTAGATTTTAATCTCAAATACTGTAATTCTCTGTTCTCTGGTTAGAAAAACCTAGTTTTGTTCCAGGCCTTTTAGATTTAGATTTTATTTAAAAAAAAATTTTTCTAAAGTGTTCATATAAAATTATATAGCCAATGCTTCCTCTTCCAAACCATGATATTAAGAGTTTTTTATAAAAATTGTTAGACTATATATTTTTATAGAACAGTGTTTTCCTGTTTTAGGATAACTCCTAAAAACTTGCAATTCAGGGCCTCTTTTATTTTATTTTTTTTAAGATTTTATTTATTTATTTTTAGAGAAAGGGAAAGGGAGGAAGAAAGGGGAGGGAAACATCGATATGTGAGATATACCGAGCAGTTTCCTCTTGCACCCCCGCAAATGGGGTCCTGGCCCACAACCCAGGCCTGTGCCTTGACTGGGAATCAGCCGGTGATTTTTCGTTTCTCAGGGCGGCACTCAATCCACTGAGCTACACCAGCCAGTGCTCAAGGCTTCTTTTAAAGTCTGTACTAGGACTGGCTTCTGTTATTAAATAAATATATGCATAAAAATCAAATGTTTGAGCTTTAGAAATAAAGACTTTTTAT